AGAATTAGTTCTCTGCAAATAAATTCAACGACTTTGTTTCCTAAACTAAAATTGGTGCCTAGATTATAAATTTTGAAGGTTTTCTTCAAAACTCCAATATACGCTACTTACCAATTACATAGTTTATGAAATGAGTTTTTTCTTCAATATTACAGGACGCTTATAATATTTTTCGCATTTTATAAGCTGTGCTCGTCGTTTCTAGAGGTATCAGATTTTATTTCTGAAGGATGGGATTTCAAATTTCTTATTCTTGCTTTGTGAAAATGATTAACATGTGATTGTCACGTTTATTACCAAATTCTTCGTAATCTGTGCTAATCTGCAATAATACACCTAATTCTATAAAGAGAGATCTTATTGGATTAATGTAGCTTCAAGTATCCATTTATGACAATTTCAAATTTATCGACGACAGCTTTAATTTCAATTGTGGAATTCAGGTATAAACGTCCATCAGTGCATAATGGAAATAAATGTCCTTTTGTAGAAGTTCCTAGTTATGCATTATGTCTAATTTAATCAATAAAATACTTATTATTACAATCAATTCAGCATGATCTCAGGCCATTATTATTTTCTCTTCTTAGTTAATAAGGAAAAATGCCATTATCAACTATAAAGTTGCGATGATCAAGTATTTTACGGTGATCCGTTAACCATTATATTGGCGTTCCCTCTGATAATATTGAAAAATGTTTATATCAACTGCATTTATACACTTCTTAACCTTTTCGATTAATGATTTTAGAACTTCATTCGGATCGGTACTAGTAAGAAATTAGATCTCAAGTGTACGAAATCTGGTACTTGATAGAAAAATATGGAGTATAGCATAGTGTACATAACAGTACATACTTAATGATGCATTGGCCTTTATAATGACAGGTGGAAGGTGTAGCAATTTTGGCGTCTATTTAATTTTAAATCTAAACTCAGTTTTGATTACCACTGCCGATCATCCATGAACTCTGCCTTCTAGAAGATTTGCTTTAATAAAATCGTGCATATTAATTAATAAAAAGAAATATTTGTTTGCATTCGAAATGACAATTATTTAAATAAGTTAAAGTGCATAACTTATATGGCTTATCAAAATTTTGTGTAACACACCTTCAAAAATATAAATAGATTAAATTCACTTGTTTGTGGAGCGCCTTTTATACATATTTGGCAGAAACGCTTCTAAGTAATTTCGAAACATAACCAAACCCATATGAACTTATCTATTCGTATCGTTGTTTTAAAATGATCCAAATTTCAACTTTTTACAACTCTAGAAAAATAACGTTTCTGTTAAGACTATTAAGGCTATTATGTTAAAAGTTTTTACTATAAGCCCCAAATATAGTATAGAATACCTAGTAAGAGTGTTGATACCATATCATGTACATCGTGTACAATATATGGTATGAATGATAAGTACATGGATTTATGTAAAATGGATTAATGAACACTATGAAATTCATAAATGAAACCAAATAAAAATGGTTTAAAATTATACTTTTAAGATTTTTTTAAATAAAAATTCTTCGGTACTCGTTTTCAAAAATCTTCCGTACTCGTTTTCTCACCGACCTAATCGAGCTGTAATCCTGTAATATTAAAGACCAAGCCAAGTTTATAGAACTGTCAGATTGATTTTCCATTACTTAATGGAGAAGTTGTCACCTTTTTCGGAGTTGGCGTATACTGATTTCAATTTATCTATGTACCAATGCTATTCCTGTGGTACCACAATGGGCCATTATTTGAGCTCACGTGAGCTTTTTTGGAAACAAGCCCGCTACTCCAACTTACTTACAGACTAAATGGAGGCTTAAAATAAGCTATTTTTATATAAACCTGCTTTTTAGTCATTAGAACTGTGCATATATTTAAGAATTTTAACTCTGCCGATGACTTATATATTATATTTTTACTCAAGTAATTATTTGGTGCACAAGGCTGCCACTTCAACCCCACCTCATCTAACCATTGAATACATGCACTTGAAATTTAAAATTTGACCTCTATCGTATGATATTTAACAAAAGTGGATATAAGTCAAAATTAAAGGAATAATATAGAAATACGATAAAAATCTTCGCTACCTTAACTCTTCTCTTCATTCTAATGGTTTTGTTTCATCTAGTCATTATCATGTTGCTTCTAATAAGAAAATATGTTTGAGTATTCTTCATTAGTTTTTAATAAATTATACGTTATAAATTACTCACGTTCGTTATAAATTATCTTTCTCCAGCTCTTATATTGCCATATTATGTAGACCTTAAAACTGCAACTACTTATAAAAAATAATTCAGTTTTGGATTTAAAAAATTGAATTTTATACGATACTTAACAGATAAAAAAAAAGTTTCTAATATACAGAATATAATTAAAAATACTATATTTTATGTATTACATGTATTATTTTAGTAAATACTCATACATACTTCTAGGAAAATAGATAAATTGTTTGTCAACCCTACATTGAGAGTTAGCAGTTTCAGATTGTATATAAAGGGTTATCCATTTCGTTAGCTTGATTTGGTGACACTATTTCACTACTCCTACTTCGGGGTATCATGCGTTTAGTTCTAAACTTAAAAATGCAAACATTTATGACAAATATCGTAATTCCGTAGTTGATATATGTTACATTAAAGTTCCTTTAATGATGAGGCTCATTTTTTGTTTGATGTATGTGTCCCTAAACCAAATTATCACGTCAAAGGTAATAAAATTGCACAAGTAATTTTCGATACATTTAATTTCACAAAAAATCACTGTATGTTATGATATTTGGCCTTAAAGATCTCAAAGTGTGATGGGTCAGTCCCCATCCATATTATCAAAACTGATAATATTGATGTGGAAGATATTTGGTTTTAACAAAACGGTGCCACGAAATACAAATCATACATCACCAAAATAATGCGGTTTATTACTACTGCAGTTCTTTTTTTTAAAAATTAAACAAAGGATCGTGTTTACGCTTCCAATCTTTAAGCTGTCAGTTCTTTGAAACAAAAACCAAAACTATACATAATAGTTGGGCAAACTATCACGTCTATACGGACATTATTCAAACTCTCGACATTCGACTCTCGAGCAATAGCTCGATTATATTCACATTTGTGATGTGATTATAATCGAGCTGTGTGCTGTGTGCGAAAAAATAATCTAAAATAATCTCAAAAGAATCAGGTATTGTAACCTATGTGACTCGCAGAGAATGTTGAAATGATATATTACTTTACTTTACTTGTCAAGTTATGAATTGTGACAGTTACGTGTCACAAAGTTATCAAAAAATTATCTCAAAAGATTTCAATACTGTAAGATGTGCCGTGCAGTATATTTGATATATATTGGCAAGGTTCAAGCAATCAATCGTACAATTATATATAAAATTTTACAAAATTATACAGTACTACAAGATGTTCAATGTAGGATATTTGAAAAAAGTGATATTATATAGTGTATGGCAGCTTATATTTTTTGAAATCTCAATCATAAGTATGTTTAATTTAATGCATTTTGAAACCATAAAATCTATATCCTTGTATGTCTATAATAAATTTGGATTTAAATAAATGATCTTTGCATGATCTTCTATATAAACTATCGGTATCTGCTTATATCCACTGTAGGGGGAAGAAGAAAAAGTGTCCAGTAATGACAGTGTATATTATTTAATACATTTTGTAATCATAAAAAATATATGCCTCTATGTCTATTAATGAATTTGAATTTAAATAAATGATCTATGCAAAATCTTCTATTTAAACTGACGGTATATGCTTATATCCACTGTAGGAGTAAGAAGAAAAAGTGTCCAATTATTTACCATGAGGAATATTTGAAAATGTTGCATTTCACAGCTTATTGCAATGTTCAATATATTAAAAGAAAAACTTCATTCGAATTTAATTCATAACACATGTGCTGTTAGAATGCCCTACGCTAATGTACATACAGAATAGGCTCCTGGAAATGTATATTCTGACGGAAGAGGCAATAAAACTCTGTAAAGTAAGTTCTATACTACTTTTTATAGACGCAACAGTGCTTAGAGACCTACCTTAAATCCAGAAGGGGGCACAATGACCGGACGATCGCAGTGCCACATCCCCTAACAATAATAATAATCTGATTCATAAATGTATTTTATA